CCCCCCCCCCCACCCCCGGGAAGCAGCAAGGCCCTGGGAAGGAGACTGCCAGTCCGAGCTCGAGGGTGTCAAGCCGGGGGCCCTGGGCTAGCAGCCCGAACTTCGGTCCTTGGGCCCCATGGCCCAGGCAGGTGTGGAGGCGGAGAGCAGAGTGGGTCGTGCGGCAGGATTGCGGTGGGGCGGGCCGGTGGGACACGGGAAAGAGCCTCTGTCCCTGGCACGCAGGCTCTCTGCCCTGCTTCCGAAGTGCCCCGCTCACGCTGTCCCCTTCCTTCCAGGAACGCTGCAGCCTCTGGAGTTCCTGCGGACTTCGCTCGGGGGCCGGTTCCTGGTGTACGAGTCCTTCCTCTACCGGAAGGAGAAGGCGGCCGGGGACAAGGTGTACTGGATGTGCCGGGACCAGGCCCGGCTGGGCTGCCGCAGCCGCGCCATCACCCAGGGCCAGCTGGTGACGGTGATGCGTAGCCACTGCCACCTGCCTGACCTGGCGGGCCTGGAGGCCCTGAGGCAGCGGGAGCGGCGCCCCGGCGCGGCCCAGCAGGAGGACCCAGGTGGAGACAGGGCTGGGGGTCAGAGGTGGGAGGACCAACGAGCCGTGGGCATCTCGTGGCTGCCAGCCCAAGGTTCAGACGCCTCAGGGCATTGGCGCCGTCTGGACCTTCGCGCCCTGGCCTTTCTACCTTTCCAGAATCTTCTACCTCTTCTGTCCACTGGCTCCTTCTCCTGAACCTGAAAACACCCCCAGATCTGCCCCACCCTCAAGAACAACTCGCCTTCTCATTCATTCTGTCTCCTTTCTTTTATTCTAAGAGGTCTTTCACTTTTTGTGAAAATCTGATGAAAAAATAGAGAGCACTCCAGAAGAATGTACTAATGTCTGTGTGCGCGCGCACACGCACGCACGTGTGCACACACACGTTCGTAAGGCTTGTCGATAATTAATTTTTTTGAATTGAAAATGGGTCCCCTTCACATAAACAGAATATAAAACCAGTCTTTAAGAGGCATTTTTGTGTTTTATGTTAATTCACGTAACTAATAAGGGCCACAGGAAGCCTCGGGGGCCCAGTCAGTTAAGCATCCGGCTCTTGATTTTGGTTCAGGTCATGATCTCAAGTTGGTGGGATTGGGCCCCAAGTCGGGTTTGGGCTCTGCGATGACTGCACGGAGCCTGCTTGGGACCCTCTGTCTCTCTCTCTCTCTCTCTCTCTCTCTCTCTCTTTCTCTCTCTGCGCCCCTCCCCACTTGCACTCGCTTGCTCTTTCCCTCTCGAAATAAATAAACTTAAAAAAATAAGGGCCACGTTTTATCAAATACAAAAATGATTCCAGCTTGTATAAAACAGCCCAAAGAAATTTGATTTCTGTTCAAAGACAAAACAAAAACAGAAGGAGACTTCTGAGAGAAAGCCGCCAGTTGGCGGCAACGGGAAGTAGAATTCGTGGCGCCCCTGTGGTGCCGCAGAGGGCACCTCACTTTGTTTTGCACGTTTTTATTTGTCGCTTTATTTTGAGAGAGAGCGCGAGCCCGCGTGGGCAGGGGAGGGGCAGAGAGAGAGAGGGACGGAGCGGAGCCCACGCAGGCTCCACGCGGTCGGCGCAGGGCCCGATGCAGGGCTCAGAGGCACGAACCCTGAGATCCTGACCGGGGCCGAAACCAAGAGTCGGCCGCTCGACCGACTGAGCCCCCCCGGGCGGAGGGCCCCTCGCTTTTGACGCCTGGTTCAGTCCCGATCTGCCCGATGGAGGGGCTGACCACTGACCCTCAGGATCCCGACCAGCTCCCTTCACCGGGCGCGGGAGTTTGGGGCGTCAGGAAACCAGAATTCCCCGCGACGGCCCACATCAGGGTCTCTCCTCCCGGATTCCTTTATCCTCGAGGCCTCGAGGTCATCATCGCAAAGTGCGCGCCTCGGGCTCTCGCCGCCTCAAGGAGAGAAGAATTACTAACCCGTGTTTTCCATTCTCTTCCCTCAGAAAATACGAAACTTCCGCCAGAAGCGCAGCTGCGTGTCCAGAGCGTCCCTGCGGAAACCCAGCAGGTGTGCGGGTAACGGTGTCCGTTGTCTGACGTCGCACCACAGATCGCCCGAAACGTGGTGGCTTCTGGCGACGGAGAGTCACCGTCTCCCACAGCTTCTGTGGGCAGGATTTCCTGAGTGGTTGGGCCGGTGGTTCTGGCCCGGGGTCTCTTGTGAGGTTGGAGAAGGTGTCAGCCAGGGCCGCGGTGACGCGAAGGCCGGCGGGGGCTGGAGAGCCGCTTCCAAAGCGACTCATTCAGTCAGCACGGCCGTGGGCTGCTGGCCTCAGCTCCTCCCCGCACGGACCGCTCCTCAGAGCTGCTCCGGTGTCCTCACACCCGACGGCTGTCTCCCCACGAGCGCCCCGAGGGAGGGAGCCGAGCGAGAAGGCCCGCAGTCCTCCCACGCGCACGCGGGGCCCGGCCGGGTGGACCGCGTCTCGCCCCTGACCCAAGGCCCCAGAATTCTACGAGGACTGGGTTCACACCAGCTGTGTTATCGGTCACAGTGCGACAAAGCCAGAAGTCGGGACGCGGAGAAAGTTGGGGACCTCATAAATGTGACAGACAACACGCTCCTGAACAACCGATGACTCGGGGGGAGAAATCCCGAGGACGGTGGAAAATAGCCCGAAATGAACAAAATGGGGCATCGCCAGACGCGCGGCCGCAGCAGAGCCCTGCTGACGGGGAGCCTGGGGCTGTGAGTTCCTGGATTAAGAAACGAGATGTCAACTCGTTAACTTAAACTTCCACGCCAAGACCCTGGCGAAACACGAACGAGGCAGTCCTGCAGCGAGAGGGGGAGACGATAGGGAATGGAAATTCACGACATAGAAAAAAGTCGGTTCTTTGGAAGGATCGTCAAAATTGATAAACCTGTAGCTCCATCACCCCCAAAATTGGTTTTTAAGGATAGGGAAGACTCGGGGGCACCCGGCTGGCTCAGAGGAGTGTGGGAGTCTTGTTCTCAGGGTCATGAGTTCGAGCCCCACATTGTACGTAGATCTTACTTTAAAAAAAAGAAACAACTTTAGGGGCGCCTGGGTGGCTCAGTTAAATGTCTGGCCTCGGCTCAGGTCATAATCTCGAGGTTCATGGGTTCGAGCCCTCCGTCGTGCTCGACAGCTGTCCTGCTGACAGCTCGGAGCCTGGAGCCTGCCTCGGATTCTGTGTCTCCCTCTCTCTCTGCCCCTCCCCCTCCTCATGCTTTGTCTCTCTGTCTCTCTCAAAAATAAACATTAAAAAATGAAATCTTTAAAAATCAAATAAGGATAGGGAAGATTCCAATTCCTAAAATCAAGAATGAGAGGAGAGACACTACTACCTACATCACAGGGAAACACACACACACACACACACACACACACACACAGACACAGAAGGATCGCAAGGGAAGCTATGAGGCCAGCCAATCCAGTAACTCAGATGGAGTGAATGCATTTCTAGAGAGGCAAGTACCAAGTCTGGCTCGTGAAGAACTACGCAAACCCGAACAGGCCTGTAACAGGTAAAGAGGCCGAATTAGAAGTTCTAAAACTTCCCGTCAAGGAAAGCGCAGGCCCGGAGGTCACTGGTGGCCTCTACCTACCAAACACTAAACGAAGAATTAGCACCCGTCCTTCACAGACTCTTCCTCAAGGTAGAAAAGGAGGGACAGGACTTTTAGGGAGAGCGGGGGTGCCCTCGAAGTGGCCGTGGTCCTGGGCGCGCGGCTGCGGGGACACCGCACCTGTCGTGCTCCACGCTCAGGGCGGACACGGTGGAGTGAGGACAGCAGCTCAAAACTCGCTGAAAAAACACAGGAAGGAAGCCACGGTGACTTTCTGACCAACACCACACCTGTCCCTCTTGCTTCACTCTGTTCCTCCGCCGCACGGAGCCCACGCTCGAGGGGAGGGCGTCGGGCTCCCGCCCCTGGAAGGAGGGATAGCAGAGAACTCGTGATTTCCGAACCCTTCACGGTGATACAAGAGAACCTCTTGTTTCTTGACAGAGAATCTTGCAAAGGCCACATGCAGGGCCCCGGGGACTCTGGAGGCGGGGGTGGGCCTTCTCAGGAGACTTGGTGGTTCCTCCCGGACACGCTGGCGTAGAAAGCCGAGAATTCCCAAATTGTAGGTTAAAGGAAACGGTACAGGGCACCTGGGTGGCTCAGTCAGTTAAGTGTCTGGGTTCGGCCCAGGTCGTGATCTCACAGTCCGCGGGTTCGAGCCCCACGTCGGGCTCTGCGCTGACAGCTCAGCGCCTGGAGCTGCTTCAGCTTCTGTGTCTCCCTCTCTGCCCCTCCCCCACTCACGCTCTCACTCTGTCTCTCTCAAAAATAAACGTTAAGAAATTAAAGGAAACGGCACAATGCGTGTATGTGTACGTGTGTGACAAGGTCTAGTCGATGGCGATCTCTAGGGAAAAGGAAACTAGGGTCTGCTTCTGCCGTGTTTGGATGTTTGTAACAAACGTGTGTTTCTTTGTAATCAGGAAGGTGAACTGTACGAAACCGCCCAGTGAGGAGCAGTGTGGCCCATCCCCTCCCGACGGGAGCACGGGGACCTCGTGCTGCCAGCGTCACGGATGCTCCGAGCCCACCCAGGACCCTGGCGTTTCCCACCCGGTTAGATTTTGCTTCACAAAGACTCTTCCACTCCACAGCACGGTGGCCTTCTCACTTCTTCACGGGGCCTCCCAAGAGGAAAACTCTGACGGTGTCTTCGAGCGGGCACACGGGAGCTGGCGGCCCGCACACATGGGTGACTCGGGGAGAGCCCCCGCCCCCCCCCACGGAAGACCTGGAGAAGCATCTTTTCACGGAGATGCTCTCCCCCGCTGCGCCGCCCCGAGCCGTGCACACCCGTCCACTTTCAGAGCACGTGACTTTGCCAAGGCCTTTCCAGTCCGGTGCGGCCCTGCTTGGCCAGGGCGCGTTTGGAGAAGTTCCTGCTGCTTCGGGCTCAGCTGTCCCGCGTAGCTCCGGCCTCCCCCGGTGTTCTCTGGGCAGGATCCACGTGGGCCTTTGCACCCCTCGGCCACCAGCCACTGGGCCGCAGCCCCCCCCC